AGCGTGCTGTTCTGCCCGGTGTGGGGGTACCCCAGCCTACCCAGCAGGCTCACTCCCAGAGGCATCCACAAGATAAATTAAATTCACCCCAGGGAGGGAAGGTGAGCTCACTGGGGTCAAGACTGTCACTGCCCTGACAAGGTGCCTCAGACTCAGCTCCTCTTCTTTGGTGCCTGCAAAGGCTCGCGGGGGGCGGAGTGGGGGGGGGATGCAGTAGGCGGGAGGAGCCGGCCAGCGTCCTGCTGCTGCCTGGTCTCATTCTTTTAGGTTGCCAAAGCTTAGAAGAGCTCTCAAGAGCAAGGTCTCCCCTTTTCCCAGGCCCTTGTTCTTTATAGCCACTTTCTGGAATTGATTCAAAAAACAAACAAGCCCAGATACTGTTCCCAGCAGCCCTGGGGGTTAATTTCTGCAGCAACTGGGCCCTTCCCTGCAGAGAAAGTCCAGCCCACAGCAAAAGGGTCTTGCTTTCAAGACTGTGAGTTTTTAGCCAATCTGGTTTCGAACAGGATCTTGAAGCTCACTCCACAGTCACATTTTCCGCTAGACCTACAGGAGGCCAAATGCAAACCTTCCTAAGCCCTTGCACTGAGGGAAGGAGGAGACTGTTGGGGAGAGGGTGCCTGCTGCTGCTGTTGCTGGAGACCCAGGCAATGGGGTGTTTTCATTAGTGTGCCTTACATCTCCAACGCTGAGAATACTTGGAGAACTGGACTCCATCACTATGGGATTAGGAAGGCTGCAGTCTCTGGGAACTGAGTGGTGGCAATGAGCTTTCCACAACAACTCTACTGTCGTTCACCTCTTCCGAGCTGGGGGAGGGGATGGCCTTGGGGTACAATTTGCTACTCAGCCTCTTTGGAGAGCACTTAGTCTAGTGCTTTATGGGGTAACATCTCCATTCTGTCCTCAACACTGGGTCCTTTCTGAGCCCTCCTTCCAAAAGGCAGCTTTCAAATCCAGAATTCAAATGGAGAAGAGTTGCGTGCCCTGAAATCTCCATCCAACTCCATCTTCCCATGATAATTGTTCTCCTGGAGCATCGCTTGCTGAAACACTGATATTCCAGGGAGGTTTCGCTGTAGCTGTGCTCAGAAAGCAGCAGGCAGGGACTGACTAAAAGACAGCTGACGGCAACAGCAAGGACCCACGTAGAGAAGGTGGAGAATTGATAAACCTTTGGCGATCAAGGGCACAGCGCCCCCCTCAGGCAAGGCGGGACACAAAGATGCGGACAGCACCATCCTTTCAGGACCCCAAGGTTAAATCTTTCCTTTGCTCACTCTTCCCACCACCACCCAGGGCCCCTGGCTTTGTCTGGGGTGGGGGTGTGGGGGAGATGCTAACCAGCTCTTTAGAAAGCTGTGGTTAATGCCCAGACCAGAGCGCTCACAAAGACCCTGTGCATAGTGCCAAAGGAACAGGGTGCTTCTGGTACAAGGCCAAGAGGGCAGCCGTGGGAGCACTCGTGTGCAGCCAAGGATCCCTGGGCCCTTCTCCAGATCCTCAGCTCCCGCAGCTCCCAGCCTCCCCTCCAGGACCCCCCAGTAGGCTGGTCACCCAGGCTGCCCCCACAGGACACAGAGAGCTCAGCAGGACGACATGGTTCCTGCCAAGGGGACTTCTGAGAAGATGACCCCAGGGAAGTGGATGTCACTCCCTTCTCCAGTGAGGGAAGCAAGCAGGAAGGAGATGTGGAGAGCAAGAAGCTTCCTGGAGATAGGGTGGGTGGCTCTTCCTCCTGGGTCCAGCCTCCCCTTCTGTGGAGGTGGGAGGCCCATGCCTCCCTGTTTGCACTGTTCTTTGCTGTGAATGGAGAGGCTCACCTGACTCGGCCCTTAAGAATCACTCGTACAGCTCCTTCATTTCTTTTGCAAACTCTCCCGAAGACAGCAGGACCTCAGCCAGGCCAGGGGCCTTGGCCCGCTGCATTCCAGGCAGTGGCCCAGGCAGTGTGCTCCAGTGCTGTCGGTTCACCACAGAGCCTTTTCATGGCTGGCTCCTGACCCATCTGAATCAGGTCTTCTGCTCTTTTCTCATCACAGAAAGGAGCAATCTATTTATTTATGTGATCTTTTTAATGCCCCTTGCCCCGTTCAGTTGTAACTTCCACCTGGGCAGGTGGCTTTCTCTGCCTTCCTCTGCACTCTCTCCCCAGTGCCTCCCACACAGTGGGTACAGAATCTGGGCTTGCAAAGACCCCGTGAGAGAAGTTGTGCACCCACTTTACAGAAAAGGAAAGGATGGTTTCAACCACTGAAACAGCAAATGGTATAGCAAGCAAGGTGCAGCTTCACACTCTACTACATCTCTAACAAGATATCAAGACACCAATGAGAATCCCTTATGCTGAAGGCCTTAGTTTAGGTTCTTCTAAATGTGTTGTTCTAGAACCAAGTGCTCCAAGGCCATCGCCTGAGAGGGGAAAAAAGGAGAATGGGCCCCTTTAGCTCAGAGCAGAGTCCCATCAGTGACCAGGGAGGCAGGGGAAGGACAGGGACATCTGTCTAACAGGAATATTAGGGGAGACTAGCCTCCAGAGTGCAGGGAGCCCAAAGCTGAGGGTCTAGGGCAGTGGTGGAGAATCTATGGCATGCATGTTATTCGCTTTTCTTTTAAGACAAAAAGTGTTAATGTGTGACTTGTTTTTTCTAAACTAAAACCTCGGTACTCAGGTTTAATTGCAGGGCTGGCACTTTGTGATCCATTAGTGGGTTTTGGTTGCAGTTTGGTTCCCTGTCACTGGTCTAGGGAATGTCCTTGCCACGTGAAAAGGGCCAGGGCCTTGAGACTGAACCATACGACACTCACCCTCAGCTCTAGCAGTCAGCAGCTGGGACAAGTGACTTCTGCCCTCCTAGTCTTAATTTGTTCATCTAAAACAGTGGCTGCAAATCTATGGCATCCATGCTGCAGCGGGCTGTTTGTCATCATCAAGAGCTCTAAAAGCTTCCCATGACTGACCTAAAACACAGGGTGGTGCCAACCCCTCTACATCTACAGGGGGATAGATTTGCCAGCACTGTACACACTGTGCACTGCCAGACAGTGAACATCCACTCACTAAGCATTTCCTCTGAGGCCACAGCTGAAGGCCCACTCAGTCTTCAGGAGAGGCGATGCATCTGTGCCCCTTTGGCATCATATCTGAGCTCACAGCTGGGAACACGGTCGGTGCCCACAGCTCAGCCGCATGAACCCATCCGATGGAGCCCATGAATGTGTTGCCATGTTCCTACTATCAGCCTGCGGTCATTCATCCAGTCTTACATTGACTCATTCAGCCCATGCAGCATCGTGGAGCAAAAGCACGGGCTCCATTTACTGTGCTCATTCATCCATTTCCTTAACTCACAGTTTGCTCATCTGTTAAGTGGCCAACATACGGAGCAGGCACTCCAGCAGCATCAGCTGTTAGGATCAGTAAGAGCCCACCGCGTGCCAGACACGGGCTCTTGGCCTGGCTGACCAGTCATGAACACTCCCTGCTTCTCCAGAGCTGTGAGTCTAGCACAGACCATGGAGCTGAAGACCAGTCACAAGACAACGCGGCAGAGGCCCAGTCAAGGAAGTTCAAGGCAGCCTAACCTTACAGCGAAGACTTCCTGAGACCTGGCCGTACCTGGGTGCTGAGGGCAAGGGGAGGGGGAATATACATAAAGCAGAGAAGACCAAAGGTGGCAGTATTTGGCCATGGCGTGTGCAGAGAACTTGAAGAACATCCGCACGGTGAAACAGGGAGGGAGAAGGGTGATGGAAGGTGCCAAAGAGGTCATTGGGACCCAGGCCATCTGGACCATGGCACAGGGGAGGAGTACTCCCCAAAGAGCAGAGAAAACCCAGGCCCAGGAGCTCGGCCTCCTACAGTGTCTTGCCTTCTATATCTCAAGGTGCCCCATGAAATTGTGCAGGGAGCAGGCTTCACTCTGGTGAACTTCAACACGGAGTTCTCTGAGCGCCCCCAGGGAGGTCCTCGGGCCCCACAAGAATCTGCGGAGTAGAGTAGGGAGAAGACTCTTCCAGCCTTGGCAGCCCAGAAGGTCTGAGCCATGGCCTCTCCCACCACAGCTAACACAGGAGGGATGACCTGGATCCAAACACCTGAGAATTAAGAAGTCACCACAGAAGCACCTGGGAGTGAAGACTCTCAGTCACCAAGACCAGAGAAAGGAATGCTGCGGCCTGGCTCTTTCCTAACCTATAATGCGTATAGGAGGAAATAAGTTTTAAGAATATTAAAGTACCATAAAAGCATTTTTCCCAACTCAACGCTAAAATGAAATTGGTTTTTATTTTTATATTGCATCCTCTCTCCCTCCCTCTCAATCTCCCTCTCTCTCTCTCTCTCTCTCTCTCTCTGTCCCACATCCCACTGAACTCAACACAAACTGGCTTCTTTTATCTTTTGTTTTCATTCCAGCTGGTTACATCCCTGGAGCCCAGCATTCATTTGTAGGAGGAAGTCCTTGGGCACAAAGCTGTCTCCCCAGTCCAAATGCAGAAAGCACAGCTGAGCTGGGAATAAGGAATAAGGGAGAAAGTGACCCAGGCATAACACAGATCTCAGGCAAAGTGGGGACCAAATTCAGAAAGGCGGTGCTCAGCTTGACTCCTCCATTGCCTGAAGCCAGCAACGCAAGGGTGCAGTCGAAGGACTTGGTGGGGCTTTTAAAGACTGTGAGCCATCAGCAAATCAAATGTAATAGCATTTCACGCTAAAGTAATTAGATTTGTTTAATAAGTATCCTAAAGCTCCTCAGGGGTTTAGGGCTGGGAGCCAGGGCAAAGAATTGCGTGGAGGCCAAAGAAGGAGCGAGACCTCAAGGAGAATTTTACGGGGAGCAAATGCACGCAGCACAGGTCTTTGCAGCTTTCCCAAGTTGCAGGCACCTCACGCCTGAGACCCTCTCCCAGCTGTGTCTCCTGCTCCTGTGCCCCTTTACCCTACCTTTATGCCTGATGTTCCGACACCCTAAGAAACTGGCCCCCGAGTTTTCAAATACCTGTCTCCTTGACTCCGGTGCTTGGAGGGTTATTCGCGATCAGTTGATGAGCAAAGCCGACCAAGTTTCTGGAGAAGACAACCCCGACTGTGGATGAGTACAAAGCTCTTCCGTGGGCTTGTGCGTGGGCCTGGAGCTAGAGGACTTCGGGTGCTCTTCGGTAACCTCAGAGACAGCCTCCTGGCAACAGCAAATACTCTCAGCACGGTTTTGAAACACCACAGGAGGAGGAAGGCTCGCTCATTAAATAATAACAGGCTGGAGATAAGGCCTGCTAGGCTGAGCCTGCTCAACCAATCACATGCTTCCTTCCAACTGCAAGGGGAGGCAGGCAGGCAGGGCTTCTGGAGTGAGTTCCAGGCTTGTTACAATTTAATGATGCAGTGGGTGGTGTCTTCTTGGCATTGCCTGCTGGGGGATTTTCTAACTGGGAGTGAAGCTTGGGCTCAGTAGCCTCATTCCCAGAGAGGCCTCTGTCTAGGGGCCTCAGTACAGCATCCTGAGCAGTCACGGGGAGCTGCAGGCTCCGGCCTGGCTTCCTCTAACTTGGCCAAGAGAGTTCTCCGGGTTGCCGGGAAGCGAACTCATAGGACACCAGATGTGTGGCCCGAAGTGTGACCCTGAAGAGCCTGTGGAAACCCCAGGGGCTTGCTCTCATGTGATGGGAACGTTTTCCTTGCTATTTCTTATTTGTAGTGACTACTGTAGTAACTTGGGGCTTTTCTATCTCTTTATCCTTTGTAGCCACCTTTCCTGTCTAATGGCGTCATTCCTCTTTTCTCCTAGAAGGGGTGCTATAGAGAGGGTGGATTCTAGGGCTGAACAGACCTGCAGGTGGGTAATGGCCCTACATCTTGCTAGCGCTGTGACCAGGCGGAGTTGCTCAAAGGGTGAATGCTGAAGAACTGGCTCCGCTTCCTCACAGGCTCCTACAGGCCCTGAGAGCAGGTCAGTAAACCCTTACATGGTGTCTGTACATGACTCGATATTTAAAGGGACTTAAGGGGACCCTTGTGTTATGTGAAGTACAGTTCATCCAACACGTTTTTGTCACACCTTCTATATTAGAGAAGATTCTAGAGGCACCAAAGTGAGCAGTCCCGATGTGGCCCCCTGCCTTGATGAAGATTATCACAGTACAGTATGGGGGCATTAATGAAAAAGGTCCTTACTACAGTGGAACCAGTGGCAGCGCCAGGGAGGGGTATGGTCCTGAAGGGAGTGAGCCTGTCCAGAGAGAACAGGGAAAAGTCCCAGGAACTCCCTGCAGCGTTAATACTGGTGGTGGTTGGGCGGGGGATCAATATTGTCGCTCCATCTTAAAAATTATAATAGCTATGTAACTCACTGTAAAATTCAATGACTTCTAGTATATTTACAGAGTTGCACAGATATTGGCAGACTCAACTGTAGAGTATTTCTAAAAAATATTAGGAATGGTATTCTCCCACCCACTCTCAGAAAACCCTTGTCCACCCCTAGCAACCACCCACCTAGTCTGTGTCTCCGTGGATTTGTCTGTTCTGCACATTTAATGTTAATGAAATCATAAACACGTCCTTTGTGACTGGCTTGTAGCATAATGTTTTCAAGGTTCATTTTTCCCTTTTTATTGCTAAATAATATTCCGTTGTGTGAAGACACCACAATCGGTTTATCCACTCACCCAGTGACAGATATCTGAGTAGGTTAGACATTTTTGCTACTCTGAATAATGATGCTAGGGACATTCATGTATAAATCTCCTTTCTCTTTGATCCACAGATCCACAAACAGAGCAGAAGACACAAAGGAAACAAAACAGCTGAGAAAACTCGCCATCACCGGGCTTCCCTCCAACCAGGATTTTTAGTATCAAGGTACAGTAGTAGCTGAACCTGACATTGGCACCGACTTTCACACACATAAAGTTGTCGCCCATTTAATCCCCGCCACAACCACACAAAAAGATGGTGTTATTTTTATTGCCATTTCAAAGAGAAGGTCATGGAAAATGAGAAAGTTGGAGTAAATTACCAAAAGCTACCTGCCCAATATTGAAGCCAGAAGAAAATCCCATGTTCTTTCTACTCATCCTCTCCACACACAAAATAGCTCCCTTCATTCCTTTACCTATTCAGCTACGATATTTAGGATGTTTCGTTCAAAGAGAAGAAGAAAGAGGAGAAGGAGGGAGGAAGGAAAGGTGGAAGGAAGAGAGAGAAGGTGGGGAAATTAGGTCACCAAATGATTGTTATTGTTCGCACTCTAAAATTTTCGCACACTATATCACGTTACAGAAGAGGGGTCTAAGGCTGAGAGAAATGAAGTACTGAATTCATCACGAGGCAGAGAATTGGTTAGCCAGCCACTGATGATGCAAAGTCAATGTGTACTGAGTTCCAACACAGGCTAGACCAGCTGGCTTCTTGCCTAGCACCGACCCAGGGCAGTGCCTCCGTGGGTGTCTCAGTCGTTCAAGAGGGAGGAAGGAGGGCTTTGGATGGGGTCACTGTGGTTTAAGGAGAGACAGTGAAAGGATCACCCCATCCACAGGGGAGGGGGTGCAGAAGGGAATAAGTGACTCTGAAAGTCTGAAGGCACAGGGAAAGCAGGTTATCAAGAGCCAAAGAGCAGCAGTGAAACCAGAGAACCTGGGGAAATGTTCCACTGCCAGGTTGGCCAGTTTCCCAGCATGACTCAGCCACAGAAATGTTTCACCCCAACCATGGAGGCCATTTGATCAGCACTCTGAGGAAATGTGCTGGGGGAATGGTGTAGAAAAATTGAACAGGGGCAGCGAGTGTGGTGACTGGGAGCTGGAGAGTGTCTAGACTCTCCTCACCTGTTCGGTCCCAAAGTCCACAGCTCTGGTAAAACTAGAGAGGGGCCTCCCCGGAAGGAGAGGGAGAAAACTCTCAGAGTGGAGGAGGGGCAGGCCAGGTGAGTGCATGTGACAGAGAAAGGCCAGTGAAGAGCGGCTTTTATCAGGGAGTAGGGGCGACAGGATGGAGAGCAAAGGAAGCCCTGGATCTTAGGTTTGAGACCACCATGCATCTCAAGAGCACCAAGATCAAGTCAACTTCATTTGATTACTGTTGTAGTCAGGGTTTTGGCAAGAGAATACATTTACTACAGGACACATAATTTATAGGAATATTTTATAATAGTCACCCAAAAGTCAAATGCAAAGGAGTGCAAGAGATTAACCGCATACTAGGGGCCCAAAGAATTCAGCCAAGGGCCTAGACCGCAGAAACGTCCCACCCAAGTCCAGCTAACAGCTTAGAGTCCAAGGCAATGTCCTCCTCCTGGAGTCCAGCTGGTGGCCTTGAGCCTACAGCAATGTCTCATGTTTGTCCATATTGAGGAGCTTCAACCTGGAAGGCCCAAAGAAAGGCCAGTGGTGAAAGCCAGAAAACCTACGCTGCAGTGATGAAGGACTTGTGCCACCAGGCTGAGGGATCCACGCTGAAGCCAGGAAATGATGTTCATGGTGAAGAACACAGCTCCTCTGATGAGAGCAGCAGTCACTCCCAGGGAGCTCCTCCAACTAGAACATCAGGAAAACCATCCGAAGCAAGGTTCTCCTGGAAAACCAATAGGCCACCATCTTCCCCTGCAGTTCTCTTTTTATGGCTATTGGCAACAACCCTCAGGTGGATCCTCCACGTCCAGACCAAGCTGACTCAGTTTAGCTGGGCTTTCCAGTTGACCCTTAGTTAATCCATTATAATTGCTCTTTTACTTCTTTGGGCCCCTGACATGCAGAACTCACTACACATCCAACAAATCAGAAAGTCAGAAAAGCTCTCTTAGGGTAGGACAAGCTACTTCCAGGCCCTGCAGAAGCCTGGGATACCTGGGATCCGCTTTTGGAACCTCAATGGGTACCTTTAAATCTGCTCCCTTTCAGACCACCAGGGAGCAGTGGGCATCGGGTTTCGGGACAAGGTCAGCATGTGTCAATCTCCTCTGCTCTTCATTTCTACCATGGTGTAGGTCCTCGGCCAATATTTCTTGATCACATTTTCTGGTCTCAAAAATTCTATAGGGTGAGAATACCCATTACAGACAAGAAAAAAAAAATAAAGTTCGAGGTGGAATAGCCTGCTTGAATTCACATAGTTAATTTAATATGTGGTAGTGTTGGGTTTGAACTATAGTCCATCTGACTCTAAAATCCATGAACGTCCCATTTCTGTTTTATGATGCCACTCAGGGGAGTTCCTACATTTATTTTCTTTCTGTATCAAAAGTTTCTACTCGTCTTAGTGACTTTTCTAGCCCTACCAAGATCATTTGTGCATGTTCATGTATAACATACCTGCCTTGCGAGGGCTGTGTGTGTGTGTGTGTGTGTGTGTGTGTGTGTGTGCTTGCATGTGAATTCTGCACCTTCAGATAAGGATGTGGGATTAGTCTTAATTTCTTAGGTCTAAGTAAAAGCCCATTCTTAAGATAGATGTACTGTGTTGGTTTCTTACTGTATGTCAGCACCTGAGCAGAGAAGATGACTCCTATGACCAGGACATTCCCCTACTATAACTATTTCTTAATACCTTGCCCCCAGATGGGTCATTTGTCCCAGAGAAGAATTTTCATACCACCTTCCATCAGTGGAACCCCCCAGCAATGATATCCGTTAATACACATGTCACAGCCAAACAAAAACCCACTTTGATTCAGGCCAGATCTGTACTGTTGAGAATGGATCAAAACCCCGCACACCCATACACACACATTTGACAACTGAACATGGACACCACCCGATTTGTTTCAAGTTCAAAAGCATCTTAGCACCAGGAAGTTGATGTAAATAAGAAAAACGGGTTAGATGTAGCTAAGGGGGAGTCCTGGGAACTGTGAACAAATGGAGCATCTGCCACCTCCATCCAGATATTGCCAGGGGAAAATGTAGGTCCAGTGTGGTAAGATCGTTTTAACTTCAAGGGAGGCTGGAACCATGGATGAATTGTGTAATCATCATTTGATTTAAATTTGGCAACTGTTCAAAGAAATAAAAAACTTTTCAGGTCAAAAATCCCACACAGATTTGCAAGATAAGCTCAGCCTGTGAGCCATAGTTTATGTCCTCTAATGTGAACAAAATAATCATCTGCAGGCAGCATTTACCAACTTGCAAGGCACAAAAGTTTCTGAGTGCACGGTGAAAGTCCATCCTCCAGTCCTCCCGAATCTGAGGTCTTCAAATGCTTAATAAACACAGGCTCCCAGAAAAGTCCTCCTGGGAGTCCCTAGGACAGAAACCAGAAACCTGCATCGCAACAGGGCTCCCCCCAACCCCGAGTCATTCAGATGCACACTAAAATTTGAGAATCATTGACTCTGAGACCCAAAGGACCTAGGTTGTTAAAACATTTGAGTGTGTCCTGAAAGCTCTGGAAAACCAGTGGGAATGCCATGATTCACCTTTATTTTCCAAAGATGGCTCCAGGTGGGGCCAAAAGATGTTGTCCTTAGTGACCCCAGAACAACGATTCTCAGCTTGCAGTCTGGGCCCAACTTATACTGGAATCACTTTGACATTCTGTTGAAATTCAGGTTTCCAGGCCCTTCTGATTCACAATTTCTTACATGAGATTACATCTATGGCTAAGCAGCAGAGTAAGCACTTTGTAGAAAATGTGGCCAAGAACTCTAAAGAAAAGATACCATTATGACCATTTACAGACAAGAAAAGGAAGGTAAACTGTGTGAGAGCAGTATAGAGGGTGTTCTAAAAGAAAGAGTGTCTCTATTCCGCAAGAACACATTATTCACCAGTTAAATTATATGTGGTTTAAGGATTTGCTTCATAATAATGTAAGAGGAGAGATGTGGGTAAAGGTAAAGATGAGACAAAATCTACCATGAGTAAATTGTTAAAGCTAGGGGATGGGCTGTTGAGAGTCCATTGTAGGATTTTATGTTTTCAGTATTTTTTCTAAATATTCTTTTTTCCCATAATAAACAGGAATAAAAGCCTTCATGCATCACAGAGCTTAACAAATCTATGGTTGCTTAATGAACGGCTTTATCCATTGTTTATGCCTCACCTGCATATTAGCAGGATTCCAGTCATTAAGAGTCCTATAAAACCACACACAGATCTCTACAGATTTGTTTTTCCAAAATGACTCATAAGTGTCCACAAGCCAGAGACTCGCTAATATAATCACTGTACTTGGCATGGAGACTTATGCTTAGTAGTAGTCAGTGAATGCCAAATGGGTGGAGGCAACTCGGCTTGAAGGCTGCTTGGAGGACACACACCTGTCCGACTGCCAAATGGGAACATCCTAAGCTTTCCCCTGGGAGTCCAGTCGTATGCCCCCAGCACACCCTATTCCCAGCAGTCTGCCCCTTTTTATTGCCTGTGCCATTAATGAACACATATTTGCTTATTCAAGTGTGCACATCCAGTCTTCCCAGCTGGGCCACGCCCACCACTAGTTTTTATTTAAAGTGTTTTGTTGAAATACAAAACTCCTTTAGGCATTATTTTTGGCAGTTTTTTCATTGCATAGTAGAGCTGAGTAGCTGTGACAGAGATCATCTAGCCCACAAGGCCTACAATATTTACTATTTCACCCTTTGTAGAAAAGTTGGCTGGCTCTGTGTGCTTTTTGTTTGTTTGTTTGTTTTGAGACAGGGTCTCACTATGTAGTTGAGACTGACCTGGAACTCACTATGTAGCCCAGGCTGGTCTCGAACTCAGAGCGATCCTCCTGCCTCACCCTCCCGAGTGCTGGGATTACAGGCGTGAGCCACCACACCTGGCCTGGCTGGCTCTGTTTTAGGATGATATATATCCATGAGAATGCTTTGCTTATGGCTCTAGGGCCCCCAAATCTTCCCAATTTATTCCCCTGAATGAGTAACATTAAAATAGAACGTTCCATTTTGGTGCAGAACAATTTAATTTATGACAAAAGTTTTGCACTGTCTTTGAACATAAACTGGGAGGTCAAGAGAATTTGTTTTATATGCAAATTAGGGAGCTATCCCTGATGGGGAGTTTTTATATGAAAGATAGGGAGCTTGGAAGACCCTGGTTATCAGAGACTTTCAGGCACATCAAGTGAACAATTTCGGCCCTCCAAGAAGCAGATGCCATGGAGGAGTATATCCCGTATTCTGAGTAACTACTTCGAAGGTAATGATGCACAGTGCATTAATTGTTGTTATTTTCTTATTTTAAAAAAATCTAGTGGGAAGATGCTTGTGCAGGATTAGGAGAGGGAGCAGAAGTAGGCAGGCCTTGGACCACGGTGCAGATCAGGCCCCTGGGAAAAGACGGTAAAAGAAGGAATGGGTAGGAAGAGACTCAGCCTGCAGGGCAGCCCTGAGAAAGTGTCCATGCTGAGAGGGGGGTGCCCCAGGCTCCCACTGTGTTTAGCCATTGCCCGGGAGCAGCGTGGGGAAGATGGTGGTGGCAGGCATGCCATAGTAGGTCCAATGTGGCAGCTGTGAGAGGACATCAGTCTGCTGTGCTCACAGCAGGTGCTCTGGAATGGGCGCTGGGCACCGTCCCTACCTCGGTCAGACCAGAGGCTACAGAGATCTTAGGAATTGTTCATCAGAAGGATCAAAGCTTTCTGTAAAATATAAAAATACTCGGGAGTGAAAACATACCCTGCAGCCCCTTAGGAGACACGTTCCCTTACAAATATAAAATAGGTGGATCTTTGCCACCTGGAGATCAACTGTCCTTTGTGGACTCTGACAACAACCATGGAGCTTGACTGCAGGAAAGGCATGTGTATCAGTCACCCCAAGTGTTCCAGGCTTCAGGGTCACCTCCTTGTTTAGGTCCAGATGACAGGTTCACAGCAGAATCATTTCTGCAGACAACAATATCCTTTCTTGTTATTAAGCATCTCAAAAGCACATGTCTTAGGACAAACTTGTCTTGTTTTTATGTTTTGTTTTGTTTTTTGGTACTGGGGATCGAACTCAGGATCTTGAGCTTGTGAGGCTGGCACGGCGCCACTGAGCTAAATCCCAGCCCAAATTTGTCTTGTTATACAGCAGGTCAGGTCATTATCCCTCCCCATACGTGAAGCCTTCCCTAACGTCTGCTTTCTCTCCCCACTCCCATTCCCTACCACCGCCCTGTGTTGCCATCTCCTTTCCCTTCCTTTTGTTGGGATGGAGGAAGCTGCTGGAGGTTGAACCGTGGCCTCTGCCAAGTGCCCTACCACTCACCTGCCCTTATTCTCCTCCACCACATGAATCACCAAGACTCACTTTGTAAAAGATTAGAGTTCATTATTTACCACCCTCCACAGGATCTCAGCTTCTTAACAGTAATTTTTGTTTTTCCTCACAGAAATGTCCCTGTCATCTAGAAGAATGCTTGGCACAGAGAAATATTTCTGAAATCCACTTAATGAATAAGCAAAGGAATCAAGAACCATGTATTTGGAGCATGGCTGAGGCTCTATCTCCTCTGGGCACCTCCTCTGACTGCCCTCAGAACTACATTGCTATTCTGGGTAGACTGCACATTCATTTTATCAAAACATTTGTTTTGAGCCCCTGCTCTGTCCCAGATTCCAGGTTGGACCCTGAGTTTACCTGAGAGGTAAAGCAAAGTTCTTGCCCCCAATATTTGTAACAAAAACATCTGGTTTGGGTTTCCAATTGCTCCCCTGAAAGCAAAGAAATGCTGAGGAAGGGAGGAGGCTGACACTCCCTGAGCACCTACTGTGTTTCCAGCACATGATAGGTGTTCTTCAGGAACCAGGGAGTGTTCTGTGGGAAGGAGGTAAAGACAGAGAGCAGGGTTACAGAGCACAGGTGTTGGGACTCAGGCAAAAGGGTACTGAGAGCTGTTTTCCATAGGAACTAAGGAAAGGGAGTTTGGAAGAGACAGGGCCCAAGACTTGGACCCTGAGACCCTGAGCACTAACTTTGCTTCTCTGTTTCTCTACCTGTGACAGGCAACTGGTGGCCTAAATGACCTTGCATGCAAACATCTACCATCCTTGCCCACCAATCCTTTACTTCCTGTGGTCTGTCCTGATACCTCAGTGGAGAAAACCAAAGGTCTTTCCTGGAAGGAAGGTCAATCAAAGTTGAACTTCGACTTCTGAGGCAACATGATCTTAGATGCATAAAAGAGCTCAGTGGTTTCTGATTTTTCCCACTAATTCTAGAGACTTCTCTCTGTTCTGCCTGTGCGTGCTGGGACCACATCATCCTGGAGACCAACCAATCACCGTCCTAACTCTTCTCTTGCCCAAGTGACTTATCTGATTAGTCATGAGGTCCAAACTCCATTACTCTCTAGTTACCAAGAGGCCTTGACTCCTGACCTTTTGCCTGCCCCAAAGCCAATGCCATAAGATTGGCTTCCTGAGCAAGTCCTCTCTTGTGCTGGTCCCCATAACTGAAGATGGATTGAGCCGGGAAAAGCTTAACCATCAGCTCAAGACACACACTGAGTATTTACCCCTGTCTTACAAGAGCAAACAAACAGGCAGAGAAGTCAAGGTTCCCTGCCCCGCCCCCACCATTGCATAACTGCACACAAGGAGAAATGCATGTCAAGTCACCTGGTGGCTTTTGGAACCACAAATAGTGTGGATCAACTTGTTCCGAAGGCTCATTGGGCAACCACACTGCCCTCTTTCTTCTTTGTTGGTCCATTGAGCCACAACTTGCCCTACCTGGCTAGGCAAGAGCCCCAGCACCACAATTACAAAGCTCTGGAAGCAAAACTCCAAAAGTCAAACTGACCAGATCCCACTCGTGATTGTGACTGGACAACATGATCTGAGCCCCCAGTCATGTCCGGGTCTTTCCAAACACAACCTCTCTTTCAAAAATGCCATCTCACCACTGAACAGAGTCATGTAACTAGTGACAATAATGAAAGAATGGATAACAGGAAGGTGAAGATATTCTATACATCAAAGAATGTACCAGTGTCATTTTAGCATTTCTGCTTACTATTTTCAAAAACAAACATGCTGTGTCTGTGGGTTCCATAAAGATTTCCAAATCCACTGTCGGAGAAATCCTTACACATTCTGCAGCCATGAAATGAGAAAGGCAACACCAGAGCACTAATTTTTATTGATCATCTACTATTCACAACACACTGCTGGGGATTGATACATAGCAGCATCCAGCTCAGTCTTTGGCTTGGGAACGCTGAGTGGGTCACTCTATTAGTCCATTTTCCATTTGTATAACAAGATACTTGTGCCAGGAATGATAGCAGAGAAGTTTATTTAGCTCAGAGTTTTGAGGTCTAAAGGTCTAAGGTCAGGTGCCCTATCTGTCTGGTCTCTGCTGAGAGTCCCCTGGATGCAGCTCAACATACCAGAGAAGGAGGAGAGGAGCCAGCAACTTGCAGGAGGGGCCCAGTGCGTGGGGTGGCCTCACTTTATAACAAGAGACTCTCAGCAACTCCACAAAATCAGCATTAATCCCTCCAGAGGGTGGCAGTGCCAATGACCTCATTACCCGGCACTGGACTCTTCCTCTTAAAGGTTCCATCACGTCAACACCAGCACACCAAGGACCAAGCCTCCAGCGGCATATACTTTGGGGACAAACCACATCCAAACCGCAGCAGTCACTAAAAGCAGCTTAAGGATGGGGAAGTGTTATAGCCTACATCCTAATAGATGAGCTCAGATGCAGTCCAATATCCCACTGAAATGAGTATCTGAAACAGATGCCCCGCTGCACTAGGCGTCCTATTGTGAACACGACCCCAGATGTTCCCGTAGAAGGGCTGATAATTTGGCATGGAGAAATAAAGGACACACGCGAATAATGCTGGATCCGACAAGATCTCGTGCATCCAGAATCAGTTTGAGACCAGTAACGGCAAGTGAGAGAAACCCATCATTACGAGGCTTAAGCAATATGGGACAGATTTTTTGTCACTCATCGAGAAATCTGGAGATAGACTGGAGAACTGCCGGGAGAATCATCAGTAGTTTCTCCTACCCTCCCCTGCCGTGGACTTTTGTCCTTGCGTTTTCAAAAATGGCCGCAACCATTCTGGATATCACATCCATATTCCAAGAAGAAAAAGGAGAGAGGGAGAAGTATTATACAGGGCCAAAGTGTCTTCTTTTATAGTTGCTGTCTTTTTACTGAGAAGAGAATGCTTCATCAGGCATCTGCTTTCATCTTTTCACCAGAACAAGCTCCATGGCTACTCCTAGCCACAAGGTGACCCAGTACTTTTCACCGTACAGATCCCAGAGGAAAGGAAAGCGAGGAAAGTGATTTAAAGAAGTTTCACTGGACCAACAGCATCTGCCATTTTTATCTCTTTAAAAACAAGTTTGTAAATGTAATTGTGTTTTAAGAATATATTTTTAAGGAATAATCGTACACATGCGTGGTAGCAACTGTCTCTGAGTGGCAAAATTACAGTTTTCATTTATTTTTCTGTACCACTTGATTCTTTTTGTTTTGGTTTTTATTTTCTATGACAGAAGTGTATGCTTTTATAATAAAGCAAAAACATTTTTAAGGGATTTTCTCACTCCGTGATATACCATCAAACGGAATGGCAGTATACATGATGTATTCTCAGTTTCCACACATATATATGAGGGAAGGGAAGGCCTGGAAAGTTGCCCCCAGGCATTATGAATACAGATCATTTTCACTTTCTTCCTCTGCTTTTTTGGTGTTTTTCCCAACTTGATCAAAATCAAAGAAATATTAGAAAGGAACAGTATTTGTGGGTGAAGCAGCTGTATACCCAGACGTGGAGGAAATGGTCTTTTAAGCCTAAACTGAAAAACATGGGGAAAGAAAGGGAGAGGGAAAAGAGGATGGAGGAGAGGCGGTAGGAAGGAAGAGGGAGAGGGAGAGGAAGAGGAAGGGATCTTACTGAAGAAACGGCCTTCTTTGTTAAGACCAAAGGGTGCCCTAAAACACTGCCACTCCCCTCCCCACCCCCAATTCCCTTCTCCAATGGCAGTTTCTGCTGAGAAACATTAACCCCCACTTAACATTCTTCAGGGAATTCTCAAGCCCAAGGCTCAGAGCCCAGAGATAGAGGGCTGTTTGTTTCTCTCTGGTGAGTCAGCTGTGAAATGTGGATCACTGTTTTGGCAAAGAAGGCCACCACCAGGAGGGGCCCTTTCCCGGCCTCCTTTCTTTGCAGGGGACTGGAGATGCTCGAGTGGGACCATGGCTCCTTCACCTTTCGGGTGGCCCAGCCCAACCCAACCATTTCCTTATTTCTCTCTCCCTCCCTTTTCTTTTTCTTGTCCAGTAAACATTCTGCTTTCTCCCAGAAAGCAAGAGGCCATCTGCAATTTTCTTAAATTTACTGAACAAAAGCCTGTATTCTCAAAGGTCTGGGGAATTGATATCCTGCAAAAAGGGTCCTCACTTGGATCAGTCTCAAAAGGAAGCAGTCTGTTTCTTAGGCATCCATTCATTCACTCACTCACCAATCCATCCATCTGACTGTCCACACCAATAGCTTCTGGCCTGGGGACACCTTGAGAACAAGGCAGATTAAAGTGGGCCTTCAGCGAGCTCATATTCGGAAGCCAGGAGGGCAAAGGAGGCAGAGAATAAGACAAAGGAAATACATCAATAAGTAATTTCAGAACATGACATGCTATAAAAAATATGAAGTAAATTTTAGGGTCACAGAGGAGTAGGTGGGTGATCAGGAAACCGTCTTTGAAAAGGTGACATTTGAATTGAGACTTGAGGTGTGGAGGAGGGAGCCACAAAGCCAGGCATTCATACACAGAGTAGTGGAGGGGACAAGTGACAGAGGCAGCCCAGAGAGGTAGCTAGGGACTTAGAGACGATTAAACCAGAGTTTGGGTTTAAGAGCAAGAGACCATCTATAGCTACTGAGGAGCCAAAGCAGAAGGCTACAAGCAGCCATGCACCCATACTTCACCGATTCATGTCCATCCCTGCAGGATGAGCTCAGAGGGGATTAGGTTAAAGGTTCCTGTTGGCTCTGACCCTTCATTTGAGGCAAGGAGACAAAAAACAATGCCTAACGCAATTACAGAACAATGCAGTGCTAAGTTATATGGCTCTAATTCTACACAAAGGCATTTGGAGAAGGGGAGATCAGTGTGAGCAGAAGCAATCTGAGGGCTTCATGGGGGAGGAGCAGGCTGGCCGTAGGGGAGGGGAATAATAACCTCTGGAGTAACGGAGATGAGCTCCCCACACCCACCAGCTGCCTTCCACGGCAAACACCGGCCCTCATTCGCAGCTCTCTCTCCCATTAACCTGGAGCTCAGCAACCTTCTCAAACAAGCATTCCAGCCAGGTGCGGAGTTAGCAACAACAGAGGAGAAATCTCAGCCTACGCTAGGTGTCAGGAGAGATTCAGGGAGAAAACGAGGGAGTCTAAAGCTGGGCTGGAAGTTCCAAAGGGAACATGGCCAGGACAATGGCTCCTACCGAACAGAACATGCAAAGGGCTGGGGTGGGACAGAAGGGAGGAAGTGAGGTGGCTGGGGTTCTAAGAGCAGAGGAAGAAGAGCTGGAGAGATGTCCTGGAGGGCACTGGGCACCATGGAAGGGTTTGGGCCTCGTGCAGCAGCAGCGCCTGAAGCTTCACTACACATGTCATACCTCTACTGAGAACTGGCACACAGAATGCACAGCCACTTCCCACTGTGCATTAAATGTCAGGCTCTTTGGACTGAAACCCAGGGCCTTTTATTCTTCTTGGCACTGAGCAGCTGCCCACCCTTTGAAAACTACTCAACATTTTAATCTGTTCATGTTCCATCCTTGCAGAGGATAATCCAAAGGTTCAGAGAAGCTAGGGATGTTTTTCAAGGTCACACAGGAAGTTGGAAACGAGTAGACAGTTAGAGAGAAATGTGCCCAATTTATTAGACCACTAACTGCTCAGGACCTGAGCAAACTGAGCATCTAAACTTATGTTTCTGCTGACCTTAGCAATCAGAGGTGTTGAGAGCTGGAGAAAATGTGGTGACTGTCACCCTCCACGCATTGTGTTAGCACCTCTGGTCAACCCCTTCCTTGGGTCCCGCCATGAGCTGCACTGTGCTTGGGACTGTGGCTGACCCTCCCCTCCCAGTGACTGTTCACTTTCTTCTTGCAAGAGTGGGAGGGGCAGAGGTTCGACTCATCCATCACAGGGCTGAGTCCAGCTTCTGCCACCCTAACTGTGTGGCCCTGGATGAGACCTTCATCCCTCCCAAGCTTGCCCACCTTATCTGCGGTGTGAACTCAGATATAATTCACACGTCCCACCAAAGTCCGCTGGCTTCCTTGCCTCTCTTGCCAACCCTGTTGCTCTTCCAACTTCTACACAAAAGCTGAGCACTGGTCACTTGCACTTTGAACACCTACCACTGTGCCTCAGCTTACTCTCTTCTGAGCCCCTCCTCACTTACCTCCAGCCCCACGAACTTGATGTTTCTCTCCCACACTGAACACATCCTCACCTGGGATCCTTGCATTTTGTGTCCCTCTGCCTGAAATGCCCTTCTGCAGGCCAGCTTGCTCAGCTCGCCACTCTTCCTCCCTGGAGCCTTTCCTGGACCCCCAAGCCCACTCCTTCCCTCCCCCTGAGAGTTCACTCCATGGGCCTCCTTCCTGAACTCTGGATCTCATCTTCACACAGCATTGCCTACTGCAGGACCCTGGTGAAGTATCCACCTCCTCACTGCAGGAGCAGCTGCAGGAGAACAGACTCGGGCCCGTGGAGTTTACTAGTATACTCCCAGCACCCAGAAATTATAGCTAGTGTTGGATGAATGCTGAGAGAATAGATGAGGACATGGGGTGGCCTCTATTGTACAGCTTACTACACTCACTTTCTGGCTTCAGCTGGGCCCAGCTCTGGTGGAGATTTCTTACCTCATATCTTCCCAGCCTCTGAGGCTCCAGCTTCCCTTCCTTCCCTTCCCCTCTCTCCAACTGAGAGTTTTCCAGATGTCTCGTCCTGCACTTGTCACAGCACAGCCAACGCAAAGTCAGCCCGGAAGGACCAGGAGATCATGAGAACATTTGAACAGTTTTCTTTCCTGCTGTTCTATATAAATCGCTTACCGGAGTCCTGTGCCTGAGAACATATAGACAACAGCTATGCAGTGCTGAGGTCAGGGCCTGGCACACACAGGTGGTCAGGTGCCATGCCAGGGGCACCAGGGTGAAAGCTGAGCTTTGGAGGGTCTACCTCACCTCATAGCCCCTTCCCAGGAGGAAGCCACCCACCGATGCTGGAGCAATCCTCAGAGCATGTTTCAGGATCGGGACACCCTCCTCTCTGCCTTCTCTGAGTGATGCAGAGATGGCCCAGGAAGGGAGTAATTCTTCAAACTCCCTATGCCAGCATCCGTCAGAGCCTGCAGCTCCCAGAGCCAGGCAGCTGCCTGATCCAGGCAAGTCCTATGAGCCTGCAAGGCGGAGAAGCGCTGTTCAGTGCCACACACACACCACAGGTGACTTTCCCAGAGAACAGCTCAGCCATCCTCTGCCCGGTGGACAAAACACATCTCCCCATTCCTAACTTCATTCTAAGGAAATCTTAGTGCTGGGAAGCTCAATCCACCATGGTGTTTCCAGCTCCCTTGCAAAATAAATTCATGACTCCTCATGGGTTAGCGATGCTCTATTTGCAGAGTTTGTAGACCCACAAATAGGTACTTTGAATCCAGCAAGACTTTACACGAATGGCCTCACTTAGTCATCACTGCAGATTCTCCGAACGCTCGAAAGATAGCACAGACCGAGACTGCCATGTGATTTGCCTACTTAGAGATTCATCGTTTAGGAGACCCTCCCAGCCCACAGAAACAGCTGAGTGAGGTCAAGGTGAGACTCTACTGAGCAGCAAGTTGAGGCTATAGAAAGATTAAATGGATTTTCTAGGACCACACAACTGAAGGAGAGACAGGGAGTCGAGCCTTGGACTTCTCATATCTCAGTCTGGTAAAAGCCACTTGTGAGCAACTTGCTGCCGACATCATATTGAACGGGGAAAAACTGAGAGCTTTTCCTCTAAAATCAGGAACAAGACAAGGATGTCCACTATCATCACTCCCGTGCAATATAGTACTTGGAATATTAGCCAGAGCAATCAGGCAAGAGAAAGAAATGCAAGGAATATGGATAGGCAAGGGAGAAGCCAAGGTATCATTATTTTGCAGGCAGCATGAACCTCTACAGAGAAGACCCCAAAAATTCCACCAAAAGACTCCTCTGAGCCCTTGTTATATAACAATAATGACCCCCCCCCATGGTGCCCTTCCTCAGAACATGTGAATATATCACTTTATATGATGAAAGGGACGTTCTAGATATCATTAAGGTAAGGATCTTATGATAAGAAGCTTGTCCTTAAATATCCAATATGTTCATGAGTCCTTGTAAGAGTGAGTCAGAGATGGAAATGTGAAAAAGGACTCAGAAATCAGCGGTATGCAGGGCCATGAGCCGGTGACT